GGAATTCAATCAATATATCCCGTTCAGTTTGTAACAAATATATACATAAATCCTAACAAATAATTCTACCTTTTATATAAAACTTTTAAATGAAAAAATGCTTTTAAATGCTTAAAAAAAGTTTGCCCCTTTCAAAGTTGAAACACATTAATTTTTTTTAAAAGTGTGATGTTTTAAACAAAAAGTGCTAATAACACTAATTTACAAAAAGGTCATATATCAAACGAACGCCGAATAAATCTCGGTAAAAAGATTTGGTTTTATTTTACTGAAATAAATAAATCGCCAGGGACTAAAGCAGCCTCGGGCAAACTCGATTTAAAATGGATTGGATTTTGCATTAGACATGGGTTCTCCTTTTATTTCAATTCAATATTGCAGGTTGTAAAGTCTTACCGAAAGCAAAAAACTTCTAACCATTAAAACGTAAATAAATTTCGTTTCAACATACAATTCCGGTATTTTTTACGAACAGATAGCAGCTTTCTTTATTGATTGCATTTATCACGACTTTGTGTTTCACCCGGCTCAAAGTCAGTACTTTTTCCAAGAAATGTGATTTGTGTCGGCTTATGAAAACGACGAGATAAACACAACAAAACCGTTGCTCAGTTTTTTATCTTTAAATTTCGCTCTCATCGGCTTTATATCCTTGTTATTTGTAGTAAAATCAATTCGGCGACTAAGTAAATTCATAAAAATTCATGTACCAAAATGTTTACCAGCATGGTTAACATTTATGTAAGGTATTTAAAAAATTAATTAAATAAGTCCTGCTATTATAAAAGTATCATAATATTGGAAAAACTTAGGTAGCGTTTACCGAACTATGAAACTATTAAACGGGAATTTGATTGCGCTTGTGTTGCGTAATATATACTTCCTAGGCTATCGATGATAATGTCACCGTTACGAATAAAGAATGGCCGCAGTATCCCTTCGTTCGGCACATATTTATTTACAGATTCAATGAACCAACGCACGGAAAATCCGAACAGTCATGGGTGGACGGGCAATATTTTCGGTAAGGTCCAAATACTTGGCATTCCACCAAAAGTATTGGAAACCAATCCAACTTATTTGCATTTGAAAAAAAAATGTTGGGATTATGCCCACTAAGCTGTTTACATATCCTGCCTATTTTTTTTATCTAATCAGGCACATGTAGAAGCATTTTTTTCAATCTATAATAATTTCAAATGAAACTATCTCTTTAAAATTTAAAATTAATCTTTACTTATAAATGGTCTTATGCGATTAATTGAGGCTGTAATTAATGTTTGGTTAAGTATTTTCTAGGAGGTATAATTATATTTCACATGTTTGCTTAAAAAAAAATAATCGGGATTTTCCTCGGCGCCAATGTTTACCGCTATAAATTTTGAGTGGAAAATTCTTTTTTTTTGTTCGCATTTTCGGGCGCTTCAGTTGGCAATAGTGAATCGGCGTTGATTTAATTTTTCCAGGGGTGAATTATAATTTGTGGAAACAATTAATTCGGAACATGTCCCAATGACGGCGATTATCATTTTTCCAATTTCGCCCGAAATGGATCGAGTCTATTTGCACGTGATTGCTTTACTGTCTGTCATTAAAACGTATTCGTAAAACCCTCTTCTCTTCTTAAGGAATTTTATACAGTGCTGAGCATTTACCTACAAACACTAAATTGTCGATTGTAACCGCGTCAATATAAAAAATTAATAAATTTATAATAATCGTGAGTAATAATTAGGTTATAATTTATATACCTAAACTTGAGAGGATTTTTAATGTTAAATTAAGTTTGCATATCCTTCCCTCACTGTTTCATTTCTTTAGATACCTCCCAAGTAGCACTCTTCATAATTAATTTGATTTATCTACATTGCTGGGAATAACTCATATTAAAGATTCAAAAAACAAAAAGCGCCAAAGAAATTTTATATTCCACGTAATACTTACGAAATTTGTAAACTTAGGTACGAAGCGGAATAAAAATTTTACGCCAATTTCCTCGGTCATATAGTTTTTTCCAGCCTTTACACAACCGCCAGAACTTTTTTCCATATATTTTATGGAACCCTATTGTTATTCACATGTATTCACGCTGAATTGTGAATAAAAAAAATATATATGGAAAATTCAGAGGAATGAAAAAGAAAGAAAGCGATTTTCGGTCAAAAGTTGACACGTGTTTTGCGAATAACGGGCGTGGTAAATATTTATTGAAATGTAATTAGTTATTTTCGTTTATACCGGAAAAACTTTACCATTTGCAGAATTTACTAGAGTAAACATTAAGTGGGTTTATAATTTTTGTTATCTAGAAAATCTTAATACAATCAAATTGATGTTGATATGGCAACACTTCATTTTTATTAAAATTACAAAACTGTAAGCCACAAGGGGGTCAAACGAACTAGAACATTATGCGAACAGATAATTTCAATAGCCAAGTGCCGAGCCGTTGTTGCCTTCGCCGTTTAGAGCGGCGAATACACGGCCAAACGGCCTATTACCATATTAAAACCATTTGTTTTTATTTAACTGAGCGGGCTTTACAACGAAGAAAAAATTAACTATGGAAGTGGTGACTTGAGAATACGATTAATAAGTGAGTAAATGAGACCGTTAACATTTATCTCAAGTATTCACGGCGAATGAGATCGTTTTACTGGAGAAAATTGTTGGCAATTTCAACCCAACTTGTTCGTTCTTAATTCAATGTGGACCCGTTTTTAATTAAGAGTGTATTTTCAACGTTTCGATGCATAAAGGTGGAGATAATGAAATGAAAGAATTTTTTAAAGAGTGTTGTTTTTGAATCGTTTTAGATGAAATATGTATACCATAGAAATGGTACTAAAAGATCGAAATAACATTATTCATAAAGATGAGTGAGTAATAAAAACTTAGACATATTAAGTAGAAAGTGTAAAGTTGAAAATCTGGTGTAATTAATAATTTGTAGTATTTTAGAGACCAATTCAATCTTGCTGGAGATTATTGGATCAATTAACGGCTCTTCTATGTAAATTGGTTAAATCACGTCATTCCATCGATTGCAACTGATTAAATAGTATCTAAGTTTAAGGCATTGGCCCGTCAAACATGTCGGTAGCAAATTTGTTATTCATCCTCACCTCGAGTTCCCCTTCATAGATTTTGCACTACTATTCATCCCGCGTATAATTGCTAAAGTTTCCTTAGAGCTACTCCGCCAAAGCCAAAATCCCTACATGTAATACACGGAATTATATTGTTCCTCAAACAATAATTGATCAACCAATATGCGACCAGCCTGTCTCAGTTATTATTAATTTCCTTTGATGTGTCCTCGTGCACCGAACCTTCGCATAGAAAATTCGCCGACCTCATCCCGAATTTCGTGAGACTATTTCTGTTTAGCTTTTGACCCTTTCACAAAGACCCTCATCTCCAGTATTAGTTGATTAGGAATTCCTTAAAAGAGAAATTTAACGATTGATGAGCGTGAAATTACCGGAACATCGTTATTGGAAATCCTCTTTTAGCTTCAAATCACTAATGATGATGTTAAGGAATAATAAGAGTATATATTTTATGAAACTACCTACGCATAATTCGAGTTACCTAATCCGACTTGATGATTAAACTTTACGTATAAAATTACCATTACTCTAAGGAATATCAGAAAAAAAAAGATGTTGAATATATATTTATTTTAATTAAATGTGCATGTTCGTATTAACCACGTTCAAGTTAGCTTGGTGCTCTCTCGGAACATTATGTCATAATAAATGTGTCGGGCGGGATGTGTTTAATTTTCTCTATGTAATCCTGCACAGAACGGAGCTCATCAGACGGAAGATGCATAAAAAATGCTAACTAGAATTTAGTTTGGAAATTTTACTGAATATATTCAAAAGCTGGGATCTACTCTATTATATGCAATAATTACAAACATTTCCAAATGTTTTGATGTATTCATTCATATAAATAGAGAAATAAAGACAAATAGATGATTAAATGAAAAAAAGTTTAATCGTTTTTTAAAAGTCAATTGTAATTTCGAATTGGAAATAAATTCCTTGCAAAAAAATGCAGCATCCTCAAGAAAACTGCATTATTCACGACATTTATTCGACTCTATTGAGTTGGCCTTCGTTGAAACTATAAAATTGCCCTGGTCAAAGCCGAAAGCAAACTCCTCGAACAAATATATAAATCTACTTTTTTCCAACAATCTATTCTATTCTCTTTAAGTCGCCGGTGGAAGTAAGAAAATCGAATTCAATTCAGATTTTTCCGGTGAAAGGAAAGCCCTCTCCAAGCTTTGTAATAAGTTACCGAAATAGAAGAAATAAAATGTGTAGTTATTACGTTATAGCTTCAAAGCCGGTTTTTATTAAATGCGGAAACATCGGCTAAAATATTCTCGGTTGCACGGCTAAAAGGATGGAATTCAATTTGAAATTTATTTTTAAATACCTATCTATACCTCAATCAATGTAGCTTGGCAGTTGGAATAATTATGAAGTTGGATGCACCGTAGTAAAATTTAGAAGCGAGAGGGTAGGTATCCGGAACTCAATAATACTTATCGAACGTGTAGTAAAGATCATAAGATTTTCAGTAGTTAAGTTGATTTATTCATATTATACATATTTACATATATTTTCAGAATTTTTTAATTTTTAATATTTTTTTTCAAAATAATTAAATTATCCTGATGGAACTTTTATTACTAATTATTCCAAATTAAACAATAATTCGTTTATTAATCAAATTAACATGGACAAAGGGGGTTACTGACAAACCTGACAAAATTTAAGACATGTATTCTACGCCACTGTATGAAAATTACCGTACGGTCCGACAGTTCTCATGTGGTGAGAGACTCGGTCTTTCTTACCCGTTTGCGACTATAATTCAATTTTCAACTACCAAGCTACATTTGGTGAGGTATACCAACTTTAATTATAATTAACATTCCGTATTTTCACACTAAACTCTTATGGTACTGTGCGCTAATAAAAATGTATTTTCTCTCCGTTTTAGGTGTCCTCTTCCATCGAGCTATACTAATGTCGGGATCGGCATTATCACCTTGGGCCCTCATACAAGAGCCATCTCGCTTCGCCGCTCAGGTGGCCATACACGCCAATTGTTCTCCAGAATTACCGCATCCTCACCTACTTAAGTGCCTTCGAGAAAAATCATTGGAGACTTTGCTGTCCACGCCGATTCTTCATCAGCCCGAATTTGCGTTCGCTTTTGGTCCTAGCGTGGATGGCGTCGTAATAGATACCGGAGAACCGCCAGGTAAACCGTGAAAATTTCACTTCCTTCGAGTAGCTTTTAATCGTTTACGAGATATAACTGTAAACTTTATGGTTGCCCTTAGAATTTTATTTCCTTTTTATTTTATATTTTGTCGTCCAGACACCGATATAGAAATCCTAAAACGATATAAATATAAAAAAACACTCCGATGACGACAAGGAACGCATTAATGTATGAAGAATGGGATTTCCCGTCATCTTCTGCAGAATAAAAGTTTTATTGTTATTTTATTTTTATGTTTCTCCGGAGAATGAAAATCCAGGGAGGTTTTTGCGAACCTTTGACCAATAAATTAGACATATTTATTTTCGTTGTTGAACTAAAAAAATCGCTTCATTAAATATTTTAATGCTATATCTATGCATTTACTTTCTCATATAGGTAATTTGCTCTACACATCTACACGCATTATACGTTCCTTTTTAACAGAACATTTGGGGATATGGTAAAAATTAACAATAGCTAAATATAACCATTTACATTAAATTAAGACAATTTTAAAAAGTAATTACTTCCTTGGCGCCTTCATTTCCGTAACATATGTACATTTCATTCCTTTGAATATACACCAATTGTGATCTTAAACAATAGCGTTTCAAAGGCTTTACACTATGTAGATTTAACGTAATTGAATGCTTCGGGGTATCTCAATTTCATGTCGGATGTTGACAATTCGTACTTGAAGTCGACTTGGAATTTTATACTTGCATGATTTCAATTTAAATAGAATTTACAAATGCATCTCTTGTATGCTATACACTGCACACAGTCTGTTCTCAAATGAATACATGTAGGCTACGCATTTCTGCAATCTATTTGTATCCGTTTTATTAAATATACAATAAATGTTAAGAAAATACAGGGTGTCTCAAAAGTTTATAGTTTTTTTTAACTGCGTATACATCTTTTAATTCTAAGCAACGTTTTTAAGTAAATTTTTTTAATATTCTGGAAAATAAGAGAGCATGTTTTTTTTTTTCAATTTTTAATTATTAAAAAGTTAGTTAATACGGCCCTGTTTATTAAAAGTTAAAGGAACTGCTCAAAATTGTCGTCCATTTTGATTGGAAACGCTTTTTGATAACACTCTCCATAAATAATCAGCATGTTCATCAATTAATTATTTCTATAAAGATAAGCCATTTTCAATCCAACAATCGAAAAATTAATTTTTTGTTATTATTTATTATTTTTGACACCTGGGCATTTCTATGAGTTGAACAAAGAAAGATTATTAAAATAACAGTTGTCAGAGTGAAAAGTTGCAATGACACAAATGTCATTCTTTTTTTTTCCTTTATAAGTGTCTAATTGAAGTTGTCTTTGTTGCACCCCTAGCCTATGTTGCAATCAAAAATGGAGCAAGGTGTATGTTGCGATCTGGAATGAGGCACAGTTTATATTGAAAATAAGATTTCTACTTAGATACCTATATTAAAATCTCAAATTTGGTTTACTACAGATTTATACGTAAATGTTTTTTTCTTGTAACAACGCATGTTTTAAAAATAACCATGTTGACTTAAACTTTGCCATCGTAAAATATGTATAAGAGTTCTTTCAAATTTTTCTTTCCAAGAATTTTTTTTCGATATTCGTTTTCTTGTAGAAGTTTTTATTGTTAGAAAGTTCTTACGCAAAGAAAATATTATGGAATTATCAGAAATTTCGCATTAGCATTTGATTCTAAAAAACAGTTGAATTTAAATAAAATTGGCTCTATCGGAGTGTCTGAACTTCTCATAGTAAACCATATTCATAAATATACATTTACAAATCTTACCTTTATTATAGCCTAGGCAACAATGTTTCTATATTTTACGGTTTACCTCACGGATTTGTTATCTATGTTTATTTTCGACTTCGCGACTATAATAAATACATATAACATGCTTTACAAGCAGCCTGGTGTAATAAAATTGCATTTGAATCTTTATATTGAACAAGTAGAGCAGGTATATCCTATATAAAATTATTGTTTTGGTTTTACTGCTAGATACTGCATGTTTTGTATGAAATTTACCTACATATATTTGCAAAACTAAATATATAATAAAAATAAAATCGTTGATTTAGAATAATTTAATGTCGAAGTACATACATAGATTTTTACTTCTTTCTGGCATAATTAACTTCATTAACTGTAATATTCCTAACGAATATTTAAAATGACTAAATAATAATTTATTGTGCTGTATAGAACGCATGTAGAATTTCACCAAAGCAAACATTTTGCTTTTAGTAAAACTCCGCAACCTCAACAAACTTTCAACCAATTATATTATGTATTGTTCATAGTCATGTCGACAAAAGGATTGTTAACATTTCAGTGCAAAATTGAGTGTAATTATCCTTAATAAGAAGTGTAAAACCATAAAAATGCACATCGGTTAGTGCAATATGAAGTCATATGTATGTAATAGGTATTATTCGCAGGTAAATTTTTGATAACATTACTCATTTTGTCTTAATACAAAAACCATATAGTTTTATTTAGTTGTGCTTCAGGCTCTGGAATATTTGAAGATGTAATTCTCCTACGATTAGATTTTTCTCGAATTGCGAAACAAACTATGTACCTATATTGCAGCAAGAATAAATCGAAGAAAAGACACGTAATATTTTAGCGCAGCGAAAACTTCATACTATACGAAAAATAAAATGTTAACTTGTAACTGAGCATTTCAATGCTTAAAGTAACCCGGATTCTTTAGAGCTCTTTCTGGAAACTTTGAGTGAAGTTTTGCACCTTCAGACACAGAATTATTGTTATTCAACTACAAATTGGAGTTAAACGTTTTAAAGTTTTTCGTGTTTCCGCATTTATAGGAGAATAGAACACTCTAACTTACTAAAACGTTTTACCTTTTAGAGTACATTTGTATGAAATTTGATAAACAAAGTATTTAGGTATTGATTCCTTAACACTATCTATTGAAATGAAAAACTAATGTTTTAACATGTGTTTGCGTTGCGCATTGACAGGGAATCTTTATGTGCGGGAAGCCGACCCGAGTTTTTCCATGCAATTTCCACGTTCCCAAGCTCCATGATCTGAACCTCTCTCTAAGGAGCTTACTGTCCTAAAGCGATAATGCGGAATTTCAGAACCTTGTATTTTACCGAGCTTTCGCGACTCGGCTGTTTTGGTTCGATTTTAATTTTTTCGAATACCGATGACGAGGCTGAAATATTTTTTATGAAAAACGCAAGTATACGCAAGTATTCGATAAAACAAAAATATTTGGTTTGTTTTTTGTTTTCAAAGCAGGGGAAAATATGAATGTCAGCGTTTTAGGAATGTCATATTTCAGTATTATTTCTGAAGGTCTTTATTATTCAATAACAAAAATTAATTTATTATATATTGGTTTATTAATTTTCATGCGTAGAAAATTTTTCAACTTGATAAATAAGTATATTTTTTCGAACTATATTCTATATTTCGACGAAAAATTTATCATTACACACATCTACTATAAATTGAATCCAATATCAATTAAATCCAATATCAATTAAAATATCTTTTTAGCCGAAGTATATTCAAAAGCGTCGGAATGATATTTTTTCCAATAAATATTCACGACCATCTGACGGGTCACGTATAAAAAAACTTTATATCATGCATTTTCATCAGTTTTTCTATTTCCTTTTCAGGTGGCGACAATCCCCAATATAACGAATTCGACAGCAACGCGAAACCTTCGAAACCCGAACTCCCGAACGCCATCACCATTCTAAACAACGTCCTATTGCGAAAATCAGTCATTTCGAAGCTTTCTAGATACGATTTGCTGCTGGGGGTCGTCAAGGCTGAGGCCTATTTTGCATTCAACGGCGAGGACGTCCAATACGGCATCGAGGCGGATAGACGATCGAAAATATTGAGGACGTTCGTTCGCAACACTTACAGTTATCACTTATCGGAAATTCTGGCGACGATTGTGAACGAATACACGGACTGGGAGCGGCCAGTACAACATCCGATTAACATTAGAGACGAAACCCTTGAGGCTTTGTCGGATGCACAATACGTGGCTCCGGTTGTGCACACTGCAGATTTGCACTCTGCTGAGCACCGGAATTCCTATTTGTACGTGTTTGATTATCAGACTAAGTTCGGAGATTACCAACAGGTACGTAATTTGAAAGTCTCTTACGAAAGTAAATATTACCTGTACTTGTATACTTCTATTTAAATGCATTTATCTATTATGCATATAATAATTTACAACGATGTGAATTAAGAAAAAGAAACGTTCCCATTCACAATTCTTAAATTCGGTTTATTCTCAAATTGTAAATCTTAAGGTGGCGTTCTACCCATTTATGCAATTTCCTTGCAATCGAGTCGAATTAGTACGGTCTATTAAATATGGTTAATAGCACTGTGACCGGCTCAATTTCCGTAAACCTCAGACACGAAACCTCGACGAGCTTTGTTATAAACTAGGGGCATACATGTACAATCTAATGAGAATTGAAATTCCTACGCTTGCATCTATTTGATTATTAAATTTAGTTCCTGAATATCCGTCTAAGTAATGGAAATTATTTTCCATGATGTTCGCTACTTGAATTATCAAGAATTAATCCACTTATATGCCAGCCCTGACTAATGTCCGTCGTACTACCACTCAACGTTATACTTACATATAATAAAAATTAACTCCTATATAATAACAGGTATTATCATTTATTTAATACCCTTACTACTAATGATATGGTAATTAAGGCAATAATAACCATGTCGATAAATTAGGATTATTGTTTTCAATCCATCGTATCAATGACAAATTAACCAAATAGGTATATAATGACGTAAACATTGTTACCCTAATTTCTAGAAGGGTGACATTCGAATCTATCATGATTTACTTCCTAATTAGGGTGGTCGCTTCATTTGACATTCACGATATCAAGATTGTAAAGACAGTATTCAAATGATTAGATCCGTCATTTTAGAACAGCCTATCAATTCAATTAAAGTAATTTTCTGTTTGAAAATTGGCTTTCGTGCTACATAGTATAATCAAGTATTTTAATAACAAAGTAAATAAGGAAAACTCCTTTATTTTACTTTTGTAGGAGGACATAAGGATTTTAGATTATTAAATTCTGGAAGATTTGAAATTGAATTATTATCAACGGAAAATTATATTTTCTGACTGAAAAGTAAAAAGGTCATGCCATTATTCAATTACCTATTTATAAAAGCAACGAAATCAAATCGTGAAATATAAGCAGAAAATTCAATATTGATTAATAAAGCAAAATCGCTTACAGAACGATTTTCTCATAATTTTGTTTGCAAAATAAAATATAGGCTCGTTAAAGAGTTTGCCTCGCTAATATTTGATGATATACCCTAAATCGAGTTATTTTTTTGGAAAAATGTGAAGATTACAAGAATAGCCGGAACGGGATACTGGAAATATTTATTTAACGAAATGGAAATAGAGTTAAATTGTACCCGGGAGGTGCCAACACAACAATTTATATTAAAAACTTCATATAAAATATCATGTGTTAATAAACATATTTTTTGCCATGTTTTTATCAATAACAGCTAGTAATGATTTTTCCGCTTGTTGTAAACTCAACCATCCTTAGCAATCAATGTTTCGACGCTGCAAAAAAGTTCGTTTCCCTTAATTGGTACGCGTATAGTTTTAAACAGCCAATCGGAAATTTATTCCCGTTTCGAATGAAGTGCGCTGATTTATAAAATTAGCGGAATACTTTATAGTCAATCGACTCTATTTATCTGGCAATAAAACCGGTTGGCTACTATAGCCGGTCTTTTATCCGGTCGTTGTCGACCGCTTCTATTTTTCCTTCTTGCATTTGAATCGCCCCAAATGGCATTAAATTAGAGCTATGAATGGTTGATTTGTTTGTTTAGGACGCAGCGCGTTCTTTTTCGCCAACGGAGTCCGTCGACGAGATGTTCACAAAATATTTTCCCCATTTCCAAAATCGAGCCGGCGGAAAAACCCCAATCGTTTTAAAAGTTCTTTGAAAAGCCAACACTAAATGGCCCTACTCCAGTTTTAATAAGGGTTTCAAATTTAATGATTTTTCACAAAGGGTACGCATCTATTAACACATCAGTACCTATCTAATAACTTCACAGTTACATGTTAAAATGCAATAAATAAATGTCTAGTTAGTTATGCACCTTTAGTTAAAAGCATGGGAGTTATGTATATTTAGAACCGTCTAAACATAGCAATCGCTTTGAATAAAATATTAAAATTACAGGTAAAAACAAACCGGGAATTGAGGTAAAGTGTTTACCAGTAGTGTATTCGCATCCGATTTACCATCGTTGAAAATACGATTTTTCTCAGATAAGCAAACTCTTACGGTTCGCCAATTCTCTGTCAATTAATTTTACGCTTTGTGAGAGAGAAAGGAAGCCCTACCACAGAAAGGTTCTTTATGATTTAGCTTTGTGCGTTTTGTGATTATACCATGTTCCCTGTTATTCGGTAAATACCATTTAAAATAGCGTGAATCATTCGAACATTTTTTGGATCCGCGACTCATTGGAAATTGGTGATTATGGTGGATTCATTCGGGCGCGCAATTACTCTGGTGCTGGTAATAGAGTATTGAAAGTTAATTTCAACAAGATCTAAAAATGTATTATATGTATGTAGTATCAATCCTTAATGATCCAAAAATAATAACCACAGTGAAACCTAAACGTAAATAAATACCTATTTAAAAATCTAATAGAATCGAAATTAATAAGCAACATACCTATGCGATAAACTGCTCGTTCATCTTAACTTAACACTTTTATGGGTTCCCTTTCCGCATTAAATTTACAAGGGAACCGCATTATTTTATGTGCATATAATATCCTGTTATAAAATTCAGCTGAATCATTAACTCACAAAACAATTCTGGCGTAAAATATTCATGAAGCTTACAATTTGCATTTTGATAGGGTGTGTGCTCTTTTGGAGATGGAAGCTGTGCCATGTTTCAATTTTCACGTGTGAAAAAGTCGATCCTCTGCCAAGTTTTAAGATGGGAAATTCACAATTTTCAGGAGTATGAACAGGAGGATGAAGTTCTCACTGAACAATATACACGGTTATAAAAAGTTAATATTCGACTCCTTTAAGCTCAGAAGGAATTCCGGGCATACTGGCTGGTTAATTAATTTTACGCTATATAACTTGAGAAAAGAAGCTTTATATTTCGGACAATATGGAAAGTAAAAAGTTAAATGAAAGCACAAGATTCTGTTATACTTTTGTAGTTTGAATTTCTTTGATATCTACCAAGATAGAAGACTAAACTACATTGCGTTAAATTCATAAATTATTTAAAAATATGTATAGTGAGCATATTATGTTAATCTCGTCTTTGTAATAAATTCCTTAGCTACCTATACATCATACATCAAATTTTGTTAATTTTTTTGAAAATTATTCTCTAAATATATGATGAAGAAGGGAATTCTCGTTACCTCCTGTTACACAAAAGACCCTCTTTTGTAGTTCTTGAAAAATATATGTGAGTAATCTAAAAGAGCACGCAAGAAAAACTGATGTAATACAATGTTTAAAATTTATGATGGAATTTTTAGTTTCTCTGGGAGCAACCGCCGACAACGGAGCAGTAAACCAGATTAGAGCTCGCAAGTGGCGCATGCAATCCACAAGGCTCTAATAAATTATTTTATAGGCAAAATACACAAATTACTTACCGGTTTCTGGTTATCCATTTTTTATATCAGGATTTATGAGTGTTCGCTGCGCGTTTGGAAAACTGATTCTTGTTTTTCTTATTTGTGTGTTTTTCATGGAATACATCTGCTTTTATTTCACTACGCAGGACTGAATATGAAAAATAATGGGTTGCAAATTGCGTTGAGAAAGAGGAAGGTGTGGATGAATCCATCAGAAAAGAGCTTCCACAATTGTTTTTTAGTAAGAATGATAAATGTACATAAGCAATAAATTTAGTAGATTTAAGAGGACACATAAAAATTACCTAACACCTATAAGAAGGTAAAAATTTAAGAATACATTTATTTAACAAAAGTAATAAATAACCGTTTTCATAAAACCACAATACGAATCATAAAAATCATTATATAAGATCAGAATCATTATTAAGTTCCTTTTGTATATCGGAAAGTGTTTTACTTTTAGTTTCAGGTATGACAAAAAATATGAATATTATCGCTACTAGGGCCATTCCAGCAAATCCCCAAAGAGCTACTTCCAATCCCAAATTATACCATATGCTGGGAAAAATTAAAGTTATTAAAAAAGTGAGTGACTCCAATGCGACTGCGAAAAATGAATTTAAAACGAGTATGTACTTCTGTGGAAACAATTCTGTAGCCCAGGTTAATGTTACCGGTCCTGATCCTAACTTATAAAAGAGTCTATAAGCAGCAATACAAATTATTGGTACAAGATTCAAATAACTTATATCGTTATTTTTATTTTGTAAACGAAAATATATACCTAGGCAAAAGAGTGATAAACATTCGCCTAGGTAAGAAGCAAGCATTAATTTTTTTCTTCCCCAGGAGTCTATTAACCTGGAAGTTAATATACAAGGAATTATCTGGAGTATTGCAACCACCATTATAGATGTGTCAGCTGGTAGAATAGATTTGGATTGAGTCAATATAGATTGCTGATATGAATATATACAATTTATTCCACAAAATTGCTGAAAAGCCAGTAGTGCTGTTGCGTATAATATACTTTTACGTACGCCTTTAGATAAAAAAAATTCTTTTAAACAAAAATTATGATTTTCTTCAACGTACTTTACCATATTCTCTAATTCCTTGCTAATTCCACTTTCTCTTCTTGTTTTTAATAAAACTAATTCCGCTTTCTTCAAATTATTCTTACTAATGAAATGGTAGGGACTTTCTGGACCAAATGAACCAAATAGAGTAAAAAACGCTATTGATGGCATTAATGAAATTATTGCCAGAGTCTTAATGGTGATTTTTGGTCCAATTATTAACACAAACTCTTGAGCTGCTGTTGCCATCCAATACATGAGTGTACCAGCTCTACCTCTATGAGAAATAGGTACAATTTCCAAAGTATAAAGCTGAACTGTCGTTAACGAACATGCTGTACCTAAA